CTCTCTCTCTCTCTCTCTCTCTCTCTCTCTCTCTCTCTCTCTCTCTTGTGTGTGTGACACTGTAACATGGGTCGGTATATACGGGGCTTCGGCATCTCCCGTGCACGGATCGGTGCGTGACCGCCGTGTGAAAATTTCGGTAAAGTCAGGAGGGAACCAACCGAATCTGGCTGGAGTTGAAGTCCAATACATCAAGGAAAGTTGTAGTGCGTGTGTATTATATAGTTTTTGGCATTTGCTTACCGTCGTCGGTGACAGTGAAATCTGTTTTCTCTTTTTTCTTTTTGGGCAAACTTTGACCATCTCTGGATATCTGTGGGTCATCCTTGAAATTGGGTGCCTGAGGCCATGATAATTAATTTTCTTCGTGTTGTTCCCATGTTAATGTTCTGTTTTTTTGGGCAAGCTTCTGTTTCTTTTTGATTGGCTTTAGGGCCAGATCCCACTTGCGGAGAGGATTGGAATAAGCGTCTGAATCTGGACGTTTTTGTGGAGATGTGCAAGAAATTGTGATTGATGTGCTTTTCTGCGTCTCTGTGTGGAACACGTCCAAATTCAGCCCACTTATTCCAATCCTGTTTTCCTGTGGCATCTGGCCCTTACTCACACTAGCTCTTCCGCAAATGTATCTGACTGCAATTACGGCCCAGCCTCGATGAATCGAACCCCACAATCACGTCCAGAGCTCTGTCGCAAGGTCTGCGCGTTTTTCTTTTTTTCTTTTTTTTTTCCCTGTAATCCCAACCAAGCCGCGGTATTTTGTTGGACTGCAATTGCATTACTTCATTTTTAAATTATTGTATTTTTCAAAAGGGCGACGGCCTTGACTCTCGACATATCTTCATTGAACTGACAGGCCCGAGGTTATTCAGAATGATCTGATCTTATTCTGGTTTAAGACTTCTGCTTGTATCTGGATTCGAACTTGGGTCTGTATGTCAACAGTGTTCGTTTTTTTGTTTTGGGAAGTGTTCGTATTTGTACCAACTGAGGGCACGCTCACACTGCGGTGCCAAAACCGCATATTCCCCAAAATCCCCAAAAAATGGGGTCGAGGGGTAGTCACACTGGGTGCACAATTTCGCAAATCACTTATTCCGGAACCCTTTTGTCAGCGGCCTGAGAGGCCGCGGGGGTTGGGAATTTGCGGTAACCTCGGGAGGTTACCGCGAATTCCTTATTCTTTTTTCTTTTTCTTTTTCAGAAATGACTTGAGAATGGAATGGCAAGGTATGGGCGTCATATCAATTGAAAATGAGGAATTTGGGCAAATGGGTGACCTCGTCGGCCGGTCAGACGCGAGAAGTGAGTCCCTGAACAACGAAAAAAAAAAAAAAAAAAAAAGCAATTGAGGGAAATGGGTCGGCTCCGTGTGACTGGCGACCTTCGCAATTTCGCACTGGCCGACCTACC